TCAGATCAGACACGACAACAACATGTTTTATAAAATCTCATAGAAACACAGAGTTAAAATCAGCTTCCCCTCAACAACAGAACAGAGAGCTGAAGACAGGAACCCTTCAACATTATTCATGAGTGAATAAAAGCTGAAGTCTACTGTGACTCTGTCTTTCACCAACAACTTAAACACAGAAAGCAGCTCCCCACCTGAAACACCTTCTACTTGGTTCTTCCTGCTTTTAGAAATGGACAGTTCGGCCTGTCCCACCACAAAGTTCAGCAGCTGCCACTTCTTTGCATTTTCCTTTTTGTAGCCGGCAGCAAAAATAAAAGCAGTTTCACACCAACTCTCACCACAGTTTAAAAACACAGTTTTCAGAGTCTCAAACAGAACTTCAAGTCTTTTACATTTTAGGAAACAGTGAAAAACAGTTTCTGTTTCCTGACAGAAAGGACATTTAAAGGACACTGTGGGATCGATCTTAGAGACCAAGCTGTTGACAGCCAGCGCTCCCTGCAGGATTCTCCACTGCAGATCACCTGACCTCTTGTTTAAAGGCGGTTTATAAAACAGCCTCCACACCGGTTTACAGCGATCCTGCACCTTTAAACTCCCTCTCCACACATTGTCTGTTCTACCACTCAACTTTCTCTTGTTTAGAGCTTGAACACAATATTTATACAGAGCTTTCCCATTGAGCATGTAGAGGTCTGCAGGTGCAGCATGTTTATAGACCAACAGTGGTCCAGTCAGTCCAGTGTGGTCTATTTTAAGACCCAGTTCAGGGAAAGGATCCGTTCCATCAGGAGTGTCTATTCCAGAACAATAGTCCTGTATCATTCCTGACTCTTCTCCACTCAGTCTTTTAGTCCATGTGTTTAAAATGTCTCTGGTGAGACGATGTGACCTCAGGCCCAGTAGAGAAGCTACTGCCTCTGTGTTGTTGAGTCCTGGACCTGCAGCGCCGTCGACCTGCAATCTAAAAGCTGCTACTCTGCTCTCCAGGTGTACCAACCCCCCCCTCCTTCGGCAGGTAAAGTACACTCTGTGGAACCCAGTGCAGTTTGTCCCAAAAAAGATTTCCCATAACGGTCTGCACTTTCTGCAGCAGCCCAGCAGGAGGCGCCGTACATTTTAACTTGTGCCACAGAGTTGATGCCACTAAGTTATTAATAATCAGCACCCTTCCTCTGTATGACATGTGAGGTAGCAGCCACCTCCACTTGGCCAACCTCCCCTCCACCTTCTCCACCACTCCCTCCCAGTTCTTACTGACAGTCTGACTGTCTCCCAGATAAACCCCCAGATACTTCAGGCCTCCCCTCCTCCAGCTCAACCCTCCTGACAGCTGAGGAAGACCTGCAGACCAACTCCCAACTGCTAAGGCCTCACTCTTTGCCCAGTTCACTCGTGCAGCTGAGATTCTCCCAAAAGTGTCAACAATATTTCCCAACTGTGTGACATCGTCCTGGTTTTTTATAATAACAATAATATCATCTGCATATGCAGATAAACTGAAACGTGTCTCACAATCAGGTAAAACTAGACCATCGATAAAAGAACGAATATTGTGCAACATTGGCTCAATAGAAAGTGCATAGAGCATCCCAGACATCGAGCAGCCTTGTCTTATCCCCCGAGTCACTTTAAAGGGTTTACACAAACCACCATTCATTTTCAGTACACTCTCAACGTCCTCGTACAAAACCTTAATCTTGGCAATGAATCCAGGGCTGAGGCCGAACCTCTGTAAAACCTTCCAGAGGTAACGGTGCTCAACCCGGTCAAAAGCCTTTTCCTGGTCCAGAGAAATCAGACCAGCATCAAAACCCAAAGAACCAGAGACTTCCAAAAGATCCCGAATCAGTGACACATTGTCAACTATGGACCTACCGGGCACACAGTAGGTCTGAGTCCTGTGTATGACCTGGTCCATCACCGTCTTCAG